TATCAAACATTTATTGAGTGGGTAAAACAAGAGATTCCCATACTGAAGGTACAGAAGGGGTTCCATGAAGGAAGGAGGAAAACTAGCCACAGCTCGGAAGCCACAGGTTGATAGCATGCCAAAAAGAAAAAAGGAGTCACTGGTATCAAATGGTGATGACACGAGAAGGAAGATGAAGATTTGGGAATATTCTTTGGTTTTAGTAAGGAGGTCTTGGGTCACACTGACAAGAACTATTTTGGTGGAATCTTAGGGCAAAACATATTGAAATGAATTGGCAATTTTCTCTGGATATTTTCCAGTCCCTCTCCTTCTTATGCAAACACAGGGGGAGTCATTTGAAGCAAATGTATCTAGTTTGGTTCTTTAGTAAATGGAAATTGGAACCAAAGATCAATATCATTTGACACAGAGTGGGCATGAGCCAGTCTTCAAACGTTTGCTTACTTCCAACTAACTTGTGATTCAACTTCTTGCTACCACTACTTTTCTGCAGTGTGTTAGAATGCAATATTCTCCTTTAAAAATTACTTTTACATGGGCAATAAGAGAAGGGGATAATATACTTGATTTTTTTTTTTACAGAGAAATTGTCAACATTAAAACTTGGATGGCAGCTTTAGCAAATGCCTAGGGAAAGTATTTCTTCCTAGTTTTTTAATGAGCTTAAAAAAATACCTCGGTTATCAAACAGAAAAAGAAATAACTGGAATTTGTGTTGAAGGTAGTCCAGTGAGTGGGTAAATAAATGATGTAAATTTTTAAAATGTCAGTATTAGAAATTGGTGAGTTGTACAGATAGGAAGTTGATCCAATGCCCCAAGCTATTATTTTGCAAATAATAACCAGAGCCTATAATTGCTCACTCTTCTTTCAGATTTACTTTTCTAGGAAAGGAAATATTATTTTTTCCATGTACACTTAAACCATCAAATTAATTTAAAAAAGGTCTTTTGATGGCCCAAGTATATTTTAAACAACTTAGAGAAAAATATTTTAAGTTTTTCTGTTTATACAGGAAAACATCATTTTGCCAAAAGCAGCTGAATCAAAATGACAAAGTTTAAGATTAAAAACAAGTATATTTAAAATATTTCCAGTGGAATACAGGTTTGGAGAAGAGTGTTTGTTAACTGCTGACATCTGATGTGATGCTAGAAAAAAGGATGCTTGGAGAGACCCAGGGCCTCTTTAAAGTACATCTTGCATTATCATATAAGTCATAGTCATTTATTCACTCAGTGATCACGTATTTTGAGTATCTACATATTTCCACAAAATGTTATAGATATTAGACAACAACAGTGAATTTATGGACAGATCCATGCCCTCATTGAGTTTATATTCTAGTGGAGAGGAAAAATAATAAATGTGTAGTCTCAATAGAAGGCAATGAGAAGTTTTATGGACAAAACTAGATACAGTGGGAGAAAGAAGAGTAACAGTGGGTGTTAATGCAGTTAAGTTGGTAAAGGAAGCTTTCTGTGAGGTGGTTATGTGGAGGTCTGAAAACTTGAAGGAGCAAGTTTTTATAATTATGAGACTAAAAGAGCATTTTATAAAGTACAAAGACCCTGGAGCATGCATGGTGTGTGCCCCACAAAGCAAAGCCTTGCCAGCTCTATATTCTCCCAAACCTTGAGGACACAGGAATGGGTTTACTCCAGTGCCTCCCTGAAGATGCTCTCATTAGCAGTGGCATCCAAAGAAGAAAAATCTGCCTTCTATTATTGTCTCATCTTGGTGAGTTTAGTTTGCAAATTTTCTGTGGTTTCATTAAACTGAACCAGAAGGAGTTTCTGAATAGATCTATTGCTTTGGAAAACTGAATTAGAAGCCAGCTTGAAGTCTGGCTCCTTGGGGAACATCCAACCTCCCCAGCTTACCTCTGGCAAAACTGACTTTATTTGCTTCCCTTACCGAAGACGGACCCAGAAACCTACCATGTCCAAAGGCACATTATGGTGGTTCAGCCCATGGTACACAAGCACACCAAGGTGCATGTACTAGCTCATCAAACCCAAAGGCTTCAGTGAATACCATACCATACAGAGCAAGGGCAAGACAAGATTTTTGGCATAGTGATATCTACAGCCTGAGGGGTGATTCATCTATTTATATAGACTGGTGATAAACCTATATGGTCTTCTTTGGATTTTAAACTTTGGTGAAGGGACCATATGGGTGATATTTGACTAAACTGACCTGCATCCCCAATTGCAGGGGAAGCTGTGGTGGCATTCTCTTAATGTACATTTACATCCCTTATTCTGGACACCCAGTTGGCTTCCCTGAAGCCCCATTCTACCCAATGTGATATTATGTGTGGCCCATACATTATTTAAAAGAAAACAACAACAACAACTACTACTACTACTCATAACTGCAAAATTGAGGGAATTCACAGCAAACCTGGATTTCTTTGCACTCTTGAAAAACTTTGGCAATAACAGCATCACATTCCCTGTTGGAAACAATTGGCTGGGCCTTAACAGATGATTTCCTTATGTGGGGCAGGTGCCTTCCATTGCTCATGAGTCCTCATCATCCCTTGTTATATCTTATTTGCTCACACTACTTACTTTCATTTCCTGTTTGTCCTCTATAGACTTTAATTCTTATGATTCCTCCTTTTAGTCATTATCTTGTTCTTGTCACTCAGGTTCTTTTTCCTCAGTGTTGAGGATAGCAAAAGGAATGATGTCATCATGGTGGATACATCCAGTGGCCACTACAATCTGGTACATAAAGCTGAAAGTGAATCAAAGGATTCTCTCTTTCTTCATCCTAATATTGTGGTAATTTGATGGAATGATGATAGGCATAAAAGCAGTTAGTCAATAGTGAGAGAAAGTTTAAGATGGTGTGAGTCTTACAATGGGAGATCAACTATCCTAAAGAGAACAGATGGGGCTTTCTCAATATTTGAGAGTCTAAAAGCAGGAGCCTGGTTTTATGTCTACTTTGGATAATGAATTTTCAAGGTATTTTGGCAAAAGAAAAATTCAAACAAAGGATTCAGCCACCTGTGTCTTCCCTAGACTGTAAACTCTTGAGGGCAATGGCCACATGTCTTTTGTTCACCAGTGTTTGCCCAGTGGTAAGTCCATAGCACATTGGAGACCCTCAGTAGACTGGAAAAATTAAAGCCTCGGTGCCATGATATGTGAGCTCTCCTTGTAACATATGTCCCTAGCTAGGTCAGCCTCAAGGACTCCCAGACAACTGAGTCAGAACCACACCTTACAATTTTTTGAGTGGCTATAGAAATTCCATTTGGATTGAAGCTGCCCAAAATGGTTATAGCACACAGGGAAGAAGAAAGATTTTACAATAGAGGCCAACTATTCATGCATCAAAACATCATTCCCCTCTTGTTCAGCCTTGAAACATCTTCCTTTAATTAATTACTCCTGCATTTGTTTCCTAAGGCTGATGAACAGCTGGCTTGTACTTGAAGTTACACAAAGAACTGGGTTTAGGAGTACATTTTAGTATCCGCTACTTCATCTAATAGCTCTGGGGCATATTTCAAACATCTTGTTATTGAGCCTGCCTATATTATTACCGCCTGTGACCTTCCCTTTGGTAGCTGCCAGGGCTGATTGGAACTCATCTGCTTCTTTCTGAGCAGGGTTATGGGAGGAAGGAAGCTGGAGAGATGTGAATAAGATCTAGATCTGGTACACACTTTGAAGAATACCCAAAGTTTCTTTGAAAATGATTAAGCCATGGCAGTGATATTTTTCTTCCTATATTTCTTCCTGCACTGTAAACAGGTAGCCATGCTGTGCAGTTCCATGTCTCAAGACTTTTTGGCAGGCTGAAAGTAGAATTTTATAGGAAGATCATGATTCTTCCTGTCCTTGAGCTTAGGTGTCCTGGGTAGAGGGGAGCAGCCAGTAATACAGGCCTTTGAGGATGACAAGGTTCACAACTGGTGCAATGTCACTTCTACTACATTCTGTTCGTTAACGTGAATCAGAAGGCCAGCCTGGATTCAACAGGTATTAAAGTAGACCTTGCCTCTTGATGGGAGGCACATTGCAAGTGGCATGAAAATGGAAGATTGGGGCCATTTTGCAATCAGCTTATTCCTTGGAGCCTTTGCATATTTGTTGAGGCCAGAACGCCTGTATCAGATTGACCACAGGTGCTTCTGGCTTTGAGCTTATCTCTAAGCAGTGATTACAAGAGGACTGGACCTCCAAATTAAACACAAATACCTGGAGGACAAGAACTTTTTTCTTTCTTCCTGCACCATTTGCATAACTTAATATCATACTAATCATCTTATTGATAATTCTTTTTGTTCAATTGGAGATGGAAAATTGATGCTCACAAACCTAGGACATTATGTATGTAGTTAATATTTATCTAGAATTACTTTTTTTTTTTTTTTTAATTGCCTGGTAGTTGGACTTAAGAAATATGCTATCTGTGTTCTGGGACTTAAGAAGCCATGAATTTATGTAGAAATTTTGGCCAGTAAAACTCAGGAATACATTTCTTTATAATTTCTTTAAAATAGTCTTAATCCCTATATCCCTGTCCTGTTGAGCTATTGAAATTCATTCATAGCCATTACTGGGGTTCTTATACCCGCCTGTGGGAATTCAAATATCTGTGGAAAGAAGAGAGGAAAGGTCTCTCGGCTCTATCTTGTCACAATTCAAGCCACAATTCATGTGGTTCCTTGGAATTGAACAGAGCTGAGCCTGATATAGGGAGCAGATATCTTCAAGAGGTCCTGTCCACTTGTGCTGTCTTGGAACTATCCCACTTCCATGAGCACAAGCCCAGGCCAGGCTGCTGGAGGATAAGAGAGCACATGGCACAGGCTGAGTCTTTTCTGCTAGGCCACCCCACACCAGCTAGCACCCAGCCCACTTACTGCTGACCTTAATCATTTGCAGGAGCCCCACTGCCATCAGCCAAGCCTAGCCCAAACCAGCAGGATTCCCCAGGCCACTATAGACTTAGGACAATAATAAATGGTGGTTGTTTTAAACTACTAATTTTCATGGTAATTTGTTACACAAGATCAGTATATCAATAGTTAATTAATACACTAGAAGAATCAGTGTATCAGGTTTCTGCAAGGAGGAGAGACTTCGAAGATTTAGTCAAGAGGGGAGGACTGGGTAATTATTCCAGGCAGGGGAAAGAGCTTTTCCTGATTTGGTTTCAGCCTTTCAGTTTATCAATCACAGTTCTCTTAGATAGATGTCATCTTCTTTCTTAGGCTCTTTTTCCCACGTCATTCAACCTCCTCCTGGATTCTGAGGAAATCAGAGCAACTGTAAGCAAGGGACCCCAGCCACCACAAGAACCCTAGGCCTCCTGGGCCAACCTCAGCAACTTCCTTTCCCTTCAACTAAACTCAGGGGACAGGAACACTTGGACCCTTTTGGCAGATTTATATAGTGTTCACCAGGCCCAGGAATCTCCTTGAGTGCCCAATAAAACAAGGTATTTTTGCTCTTGTTTTATTCCCAGGACCTAGACTTTCATTACAAAATAAAATTTAGAAATAAAAATAAAGCTTCCTTCACTCCTGGGGCTTCTACCCTCTTTGCCCATGAGCTGCCCTGCCCTTCTGGTTCTCAGGCTCTTGGTCTGTAACTCTCAGGATTTCCAACTTCCTGCCTCTTCCCCAAACTGATGCCACTTTCCCAGGCACTGGGAGTCACATCTGAAAGGGTCAGTCCCCGGAATTCCTTGTGGTAACAGCGGGGAGACAGCCACTCCTGTCTGTTAATTGGCACAGGAAATGAGCAAAGTTGAATGTGGTTCTCCTGTGATTAGAAACCTTTTAAAACAACAAGCATGGCTGAATCTTTCCTTCAAAGAGGGTTTAGAGTGGGTCGAGAAACCTGAGAAGTATCTAGGTGATTTAATGAAAAAGTTAGATTGGAGTCTTTTCATTTTGTAGAGTGAAAATGTAAAACAAAACAAGAAGTGAAACATTCCTAAATGTTAGAGACTCATGAGTCTCCCTCACACTTCTCTCTGGTGTTGCTAAAATAAATCATACAGAACACATCCCATTTAGTTTCCTTTCCCATTCATCCTCCTTTCCCTCGTGTCTTCATAGCAGGCCTTTTAAGGATCTGAGAGTCTTTTTAAGTGCTGCCTCCTCCCGATTTTGCTCTCTGACAGATGTTGATTTTAATGATTCCCCCTTCTTAGGTTTCAAAACCATCAGGGTGTTTGTTCTTGTAACTAAAAATTAAACTGGAATAAAACTTGTTTTATTTCAGAGAGATCTAGGGAGGAGTTGAGAAGGCCTACCTACAATGTTATTAAGATATGAAGAAAATAATATGTGCACAGAGGCATGCACCGTACCTTTTACCACCTTCGGTAGAATCCACTCACACTTTTGCTTATACAGCTATACACTTATATTTTCTCTTTGTTCCCTAAGTGTTTAACTCAGTCCTGAGCACAGAGTAAGCACTTAATACACTTTTGCTGATGTGAATTGAAGGCCTGGGGTATTTCCTACAGATTAAGCAATTTTGACACCATAATCCCTAAATAATTCCCAGGAAGTGCCTTGCACAATGGTTTCTATTGCAGGCACATTAGGACTCTTGATTCCTGTCTTTTGCTGTTTGTTTCTGGTTCATGTGTCAAGCCACTCACTCACTACCTCTTGGTTCAGTTCTTTAGATAGTCAGAGGAAAATGAGTGATAAGTCCGGGGCAGGACATTTTTATTCTCCGTGTCTCAGAAACTAGATTGCAAAGCAGAGAATTTGTCCTCTTTGCTGAGTAATATAATGATTATCACCCACAAATATTTGGAGAGGGGTGGTCAAATGCAGCAAGAAGAGATGAAGGTACTTTCAATAGAAATGAAACAGTTCCAATTCTGAGGCCTACTCTGAGCATGGGGAAATGTGGGTGAAATATTATAGCAGCAACAGGAATGCTTATTGAACTGTGAAAAGCATTTGCTACATAAAGAGGGCCTTAATTCCTTTGATGTTATCAGGGAGGGATGTATTAGGTTCTGCAAAGCAAGTGGCAATGATCAGCAAATGCATTTTTAAAATGTTCTTCTCCTTTAATATCAGATGACTATAACTTAATCTCTAGTTTGAGGGTTATTCTTCTTACCCCTCCCCCCAAAAGAGGGTGTGGTCAGGGCAATTAAGAAGACCAATTAAGAGGACCATTTTAATTTCTAGAATGAGTCACCATCTTATTCTTACTATTCTGTTGCTTTTGTATTTATGAGAAACATAAATTGAGATGTTGGGATCTCTGAACTAACAAAGAATTGTGTATAAATTACGACTCTATTAATTGAAATAGAAGACTATGGCATTTGATAATCAGATACAAAAATGTCCATAATAATTTGTATTTACTTTCCAAACAGTTCTGTAGAACCAAGTTGGAAATCCTTTAAGAAATTATATTATAAAAATAAAGGCATGGAAAATCAAATTTGATTTTGAAAGGGCAAAAACTGTTTTAAGTAAAAAATGTATTCCCTTTTTCATTCTTTAATATGGGCTAAAGATAAAGAGTCACTGGGGGGAAAATCAAGCTTTGTACTTATTCCCCGTTTCAATTGGTAAAATTCAAAATGGTGCTTAGTGTGGCAGCTAAAAGGAAAATTAATTTAATAGGTTAAAATTACCAGTTGGACAGAACTTGCACCATGAGCGATATGGAAAGATCATGACAATACCAAGATAGCTAGTTTCAGACTGTAGATTTGCTCTCAAAAAGAGCATCTGATCTGTATTTACACCTCGGTAGGTGGGCACTAAAGGGATGCCAGGAATGTGCTTTAGCTGGAATGCTCTGCTAACCAGGGGATTTGGAGAAAAAAGCGATTCCTATTTCTATACCTTTCTTTTGCAACTGTTTACAAATACCATAAAGCTGTGATGTCTGTGTGTCTTATTGATGTGGCTGTAGGATGCAGATTCTGTTCATAAATCCACCCACCCCCTGCCCTCTAAGCCATGTTGTTTAGGTCAGAGCCTGATTCTTGTCCAGTCTATCACTGACTCGCGTTGGAAATTGACACAGAATATATCCCAAACATAGGCATTTGTCTGGAGTCACCTTAATACCATAAATTATATCTGCTTACATTTAGGCTTAGCATCCCCTGTCAGTTTCCGTTGGAAGTTTCAACTCCCCCCTGATTCTGACCCACCCGGTTAATGCATGATCCTCCTTCCCCAAAGCCTGGGAGAATGAGGAAAGACAGGCATTTGATAAAAGCCCATTACCATTCAAGAGAGGGGGAAAAAGAGAGAACAGAGCTGGAGCCACCCCATACCACGACCAGCAGTTGTTGGGTTTAAAATTTCACGTTGGCCTCTTTCTTATTAGACAGCCTAAGCTGGCATCAAGGGGCTATCGACTGTCAAAACAGCAGCCAGAGAAACAATCGACAAAGCCATCCCTTGAGAATGTTGAGTAAACTGGGGAAAATACTGTCAAAGGAGTTAATGTGCAAGCTGGCACCCAATGCCAGACCCAGCGTGAGAACCACTTACGTGGTAATTGTCCCTCCTGGTGTCCCTCGGCTCTGTCAAACACTGCCCCAGGCTTGCCTTTCAGCACAGGAACTGATCTCTTTTTGACAAACTGAAATACACACCCACCCTAAAACCCTACCAGCTGAGGGTGGGGAATGCAGGTGGGAAAGCAAGCAATTCTCTAGCAACCGGTGGGGGGTTCAGTTTCTCCAGACTCCCCTAGGGTCGGGCAAGCTGGGCCAACTGTTTCTGGGAACGCTTGGGTGATATTTATGTGCAGCCCTGGACTCAAGGGGAGATAAAGCCAGACACCAGCTGAATCTCACAAAAACCCTTACACCCAATCCATTTGTAGTTGGAGCTCCTCAGTACCAAAGTCCCGCACCCTCCTTTGTGGCATTTAGAATAATATGCTTCCCCAAAAAGAGAAAGATCCTGTAGTCAGAACCAAAGAGTGCATTGCAGCACCAGCTCTTAGGGCCTGGTGGCAGGGCTCGCTGAAACAGTGTGAAATACTTTAAGTAATAGAGAAAAAGTGTCACTGTAGTGTCACTGTAATTACAAAGGTCAGAAATATGCAATTTGAAATAATGGGATTGAATAGGAAGACAGTAATCCCAAGAGAGGGCTGGGGTTTTATTTGTTTTTTGGGGGGGTGTTTTTGTTTTTGTTTTATATCAAGAGAGACACCTGTCTCAAATTCGAGCGGATGCCTAGACTGCAGAATCCCTTAACATTTTGGAAATCATATCAGTTCACTACTCTGCCAAGTTCTCCAGTCACCCAAAAGAATGAGGAAATAGGGTTTATAAATATAAATAAATACAACTTGTGAAAAAAAGCCACTTGGAAATGATTTTGAACAGGCAGCATATGTATGAACATAAAAAAGTAACTAAGACACCCAAAACAGAAATAAATACAGGTTATAAATAGGCCAATCAAAAAAAATGTCTAATAAATGTGGATAGTTAATTCAGTCATTACTAATTTACAAACTTTAAGTAAAAAGAGCAGTACCATATTTTTTTGCTCTAATCAGCAAATTTAAAAATGATAATGCCAAATGCAATTCATAAAATAAGATTAATGGAAATTTGTATTGCTGCAAGCCATTGGAAAAGCAATTTGATTGTAGGAGTCCAAAATGTTAAAAATACTTGTGTAGTTGTACCCAGTCATTCTGCTATGAAGAAGGGTCTTCCCTCAAGCCCCTGCCATTGAACAGTGTGGAACCACGTGTACAGGTGGCCCCTCTGTGTCTGGACCACTCATAATCCTGACCTTCCATCTTCCAGTCAAAAGATGCCGGTTCATAATTCATTCACTTACTTCTGTGGAAATCTAGACTTTGTGTAGGGTGGGTGCAGACAGGGGCCGATACGTGGCTTTTATTCTCCTTATATTTTGCCCAAGTATCATTCTACTCACCTTTTTGTTGTTGTTCACTTTTTCCTCTTTTGAGGTTGTTAGGGACTCAATCTCATTGGCGATGCAGGTTCCTTTTTAATTTCTTTTTCTTTCTTCTTCTTCTTTTTTTTAATGTGTGATAACCAAAGAGCAATTAGAGGGAAAATGCCTTTATTTTATCAAAAGTATTTTCACATTGCTTTTTTTAGATTTTCTAAATTTTTGACACAGATCATTATTTTTGCCATTAGGAAAAAAGTCCAATTTAAATTACTTCACAATATGAATAAGTTTACAATTTGTATTTAGGGTAAAAACTAAGGTAGTAATTATATAGATTTTTAAAGACTTTTCCAAATAACAATTGAGAAAGAAATTAATTGTGGCAAGGCATGAGCTGTATCTATCAATGCTCAGATAATTAACGTTATTTCAGAAGTTCAGTAAAAATGCTTTCATTGAAGATGAAGTCTGAAATGCCACTGGGGCTCACATTGCTGTTTTCTTATTCATGTTATAAAGGTTCTAAAGAAAGCCTTTCTTTAAAAAATTGCCTTGTAGATAAGGAAAATCAATTAGAACGGATTTCAGTAGTTCATCTTCTATAAAACAGCATCATGCAGTGTTCCATCCAGAAATATTTTTCATCTCCTGCGAAGGTATGAAAATCGCATGGTGGCTTTAGTGTAGTTTTGTTGAGAAATGAAATCAGCACAGGGGCGCCTGGGTGGCTCAGTCGGTTGAGTGACCAACTTCGGCTCAGGTCGTGGCTCAGGTCGTGATCTCACGGTTTGTGAGTTTGAGCCCGGCGTCGGGCTCTGTGCTGACAGCTTGGAGCCTGGAGCCTGCTTCGGATTCTGTGTCTCCCTCTCTCTCGGCCCCTCCCCCACTCGTGCTCTGTCTCTGTCTCAAGAAATAAATAAACATTAAAAAATTAAAAAAAAAAAGAAATGAAATCACTACAACATTGTTCATTTTTGCTTTAGTACAAAATAGCAATGGTAATCTCCATATGTATTAAGGCTGACCTTACTGGTTCAAACACTGAAGTCTCACACCCCAGGATACTCTCAGTCCCAAATTGTTCTTATCTATCCCAGAGCTGAGTGGCTCAAAATAATAGCCATCTTATTATTATATCTAATGACTCTGTAGTTAGGAATTCACTAAATTTCTGCTCCATATGATGATGCCCCCTGGTGTCACTCTTGGTATTGAGCAGGTGGTTGGGCTGGTCCGGAGGGTCTAGGACAGCTTTAGTCCCTTGCATGGCATGGCGTATCAGTGAGGATGTCTCAAAGGTTGATCTCTACTGGGCCCCTATCCTTCTCTGTATAGTGTCTTGTCCTCTCCAGGTATTCTTTTCAGCAGGGTACTGAAACTCCTTACCTGGTGGCTCGGGGTTCAGGGTGGCTCAGGGCTCTGAGTTCTGACAGACAGGAAGTAGAAGCCAATGGACAGGAAGCTAGTCTTTTAAATCTGGGCCTGAAAACTGCTAGTGTCACTTCCCATGTATTGTGTTGGTCAGAGTAGTCACAAACCCCGGGAAGGGAACAGAAAGAACATAGGATATATTTCTCAGTGGGAGGAGTGTGAAAGAACTTAAGATTGACTTTAAACTACAATACAGATACTGTGTTTTAACATAGTAACTGCAAGCTGTAGTTTAACTTGTCAAAATAAAATAAGATAAAATAAATTATTCTCATTTTGTAGTTGAAAAAACTGAGCCTTAGAGAAGCTGAATAATTTTCTCAGATCACACAACTAATATCAGAGCTCTGGTAAAGCTTAGGTTGATCTATGAAAATTATGCCATTTTCTTTATGCTACATTGGCCACAGAGAAGCATTTCATTGTGTATTCACAGATGGGAAACCTCTGCATATTGAGTACACGGAGGTATGGTGTACATCCATGGGAAAGGAAGACGATGAGTAGAAACTCCTCTCCCATGCTTGTGATAGACAGATGGGAGAATTGTCTAGCAAAGATTTTAATTCCCCATCTACCAAGGCACATGGGGTGTAACAAACAGACCATTGGGCTATCTCATGAGGTGTCAGGTTACTCATGAGGCCTGCCAAAGAGTACACAGAAGGTTACAACCATTAGTCCTGTGTCTGATTCTGCTGTATAACAAAGCACCCCAGAACTTAGTTGCCTGAACAACTCTTCCAGTCTCAGCAGCCCAGGCTAACTGTGGCTGGGCTTCCTCATGTGTCTACATTCACCTGCCGGCTTAACAGGTCTGGGATGGGCTTCCTTCAGATGTCTTGTGGTTGGCAGGCATTTGCCAGGGGCTGGCCAACTATTGGCTGGTAAGCCTTGCTTCTTTTCCACATGACTTTTTAACCGCCAACAAGTGAAATAAGGTTTGTTCATGTGAAAGCTTCAGCGTGTCAAGCATAACAGTGTGCAAGGCTTCCTGGGATGGAGGCTCAGAACTCACACAACATTGTTTCCTTTGTATCCTATTGGCCAAAGCAAGTCAGAAGCCCAGCTCAGTTTCAAGCAGTGGCAAAATAGACTTTCCTTCTCTTGATAAGAGAGTTGCAAAATCCCATTGAAAGAGTGTGGATACAGAGAGAATAACTGCAGGCATCTTTGCAATTCTAAGACAAGATGAATTGGTTGATATCTTATACACTATTTAACAGCCAGTTGCAGACCCCCACAACTCTGATGAAATGTCTTAAATGAAATTGTGGGCATTGTGAATTCAACCAGAAACCCTATCCAAATAATTAAGCTATAACAAAATCAGTAATTCCAAAGGGTATTCTGAAGTACTTCTCATCCTCACTACCCACAATTTTAACTTATTGTGGTCCACTGTAAGGATTAAACTGCATGTGTAAGGAAGAGCCCCCCCCCCCCCCCCGCCCTACCCCCGACACCACCACCCCGGGCTGTTTACAGCTGGACCCTACTAGAAATTAAGTAATATCTCTTAGACACACACATCAATATTCTACAGTAAAACCAGGAAAAGAAAGAAAAAAGCCACATGAATTAAAACTGTACAGCAGGAATGCAGCAACAAACTTTGATTCCCCAAAACAGTCTAAGAATATTCCTTATGTTTTAGTAACTACTATAGGATTCATGTTTGAACTTGAACAGCAAAGTAGATCTGTTGAGTGCATTGTAAGTGCCAAGTATAGTACTGGGCATTTGATATATTTCATATCATTTAATGCTCACTGTGAATTTATCATTCATCAATGAACATTAGCATCTGCATTATTCACGTAAGGTGATTGGAGCTTAAAATGTATGGTAGATTAGATTGCTCAAGATTTCTCTTTGTCTATTAAGAGTGGAATCAACGTCCCTTGAATCTTGGCTCCACCGTGTGACTTGCTTTGGTCCGAGGATATTAGTAAATGTGATTGATGCATGCAAAAGATTGAAACATACTTCGACATTAGGGCCTTTTTCCTACTACCCTTGAGATCCTAGGGCACCATATGAATAAGCCTGAGCTGCCCTGCTGGAAGATGGGAGACTACATGGCAGAAATCCAAGGTGAACACCAGCTGAGAGTCCATCAGCCCCTGGCCAATCACCTGTTAACTTCCAGGCATGTGAGAGAGGTCATCCTAGATCATGCATCCTCCAGCCAACTTCCAGCTGTCCGGAGCTAGTGGAAGCAAAGCTGGGAGTCAAGCCCATGTTCTCACATTCCAAAGCCTATATCCTTAATAGTGATACTGTACTGACTTCTCTAAAATGTATAGTGTTTCTCAGAAGGTTTATAAGGCTTATAGTTGTTAAAGTATCCACAAAGACTGCCTGGCATACAAGGAAGTACAGGCAGAAATTTCTCTTGTGTATGAACCCCAAGTGTCTTTACACACACCAAGGACTTATGGAGTAACCCTCAGGATAATAGAAACTCATGAAGATTTTAAACAGGTTTTTAAACAAACCGTAAAAAAGTAAAATTGCAAGTAGCAGGGTCATAGATTTTGGAAAGGGGAAGAATAGAGGCAGAGAAACCAGAGGCAATACTCTAGGGGTGAATTAATGAAGTTGTAAGTCAAGACAGCAACAATGAGATTGAGAGAGGAGGCATTAGTAGGGGAATCTGTGTGACATGATTGTTTAATCCTTTGCCTTAACTAGGCACTCACTTCAACTACCCTGGACTTGAACTCCCATGGGGATCCCAACTTACACAAATGCTGAGATGAAATTTATTTGAAATTCTGAAGGAGAGTAAAAGAAGAAGACACAGAGAGAAATGAAATATAGGAGCCATCTGGTCTCATTTGAAAATCCTTGGTCTGAAATCAGGAAATAGGAGTTTTGATCCCTCTCTGACATCACTTACTTTGGACCTCGAATAAGTCACTTAACTGCAACCTTCTGGCCTCAGTTTTCATCTCTGTCCAAAGGGAATCCTTTGAAGGATGGTGCTTGTTAAGGTTGAAAGCATTAATAAATTCAGTGTATTACCAATTTGTAAAATGGTTTTCTCTATGAGCACTTCCCATGCCAAGGTACTTAAAAGAGCAGAAACAGTTAAATGGAATTTACCAGAACTCTTTTCATTAATTTCACACATCCTGCCAACCCTTAGATTAATTAGAAATCCAGATTCTTTCTAGTGTCTTTTGGGAATTTAGCCTGAAAGCTCAATAGCCTGATCTTGAGGGAACTGACATCTAGGAGAAATTTTGCTGGCCTCATAATATAATGACCAGGAGATTTAGAAGTGAATGGTCCACTGTCAAATCAAGATATGAATTCTTGGTTTGAAATCCTAAACCCATCTCTTAATAGTTGCATAATTGTGGGAAAACTTCTTAACTAGTCTGCATCAGTTTCCTCATCTGTAAAGTGGGGATATAACAATACCTATTTTATAGGGTTGCTGTGAAAATTAAATGAACTTTCCTGTATGTATGGTGCTTAAAACATTGTCTGGCACACTGTAAATACTATATAAAAAGGTTACCAGTTAGCGTTATTGCTTATTAGTGTGAACTGAAACCTCTTCCTTCCCCTATGAGTTTAGAAAATCAAGATAAATCCTTTATCATTAGCCTCAGTTTCTCTCTCTTGCTGCCTAGTACTGCTGGTTCTCAGTTGTCCCTGTGCTTGCTTCTTTGGATGCTATCATAGCAGCACCATATCAGGTGACCTGGTTCAAGTCTGATTTTTACAGTAAAGTGAATTCCAATGATTCAGAAATCATTATGGCCAAAGACATATTTCAGTCAAAGCAGCAGAATTTCTTGGACCACTTCAGGGTTTGTCACATAGATCTGGTTACTGCAGATCTATGGGTTTCAAATATTTTTCAAGTATTTTTACTTCCTAAACAGCAGAATCTGTCAAATATAACATATATCCTATATTGAAGGAATCCTAGTTTCCTTCATTACATTAGTCCAGCACCCTCATTTATAGATGACGTCCAAATAGATTAAGTGACTCTGGTCATTCAGCTGTTTGGTGGCAAAACCACAAAGGTGCTCAGGTACTGGTTAGTTAGAATCCAAACCAGCATGTGTAGAGCTTCAAAGGAAAAGGCTATGAGAGCTTGTTCCCCACTCAGAAATCACTCAGCTACATATAGGACATGAGAAACAGCAGTGAGTGGAAAGGAAGTGATGGGTGAAGGGAGGTCTCTGTAGAGAGCTGTTGGGCTG